ACCTTCTCCCTTCCCCACTCGGCGAAGGGCCTGGACAGGAGAGCCTTGTAGGAGGGACACCCAAGGGCATCACCAAGGGTGAGGCACTGTTCTAGGCCCTGGGGATTTAGCAATGAACAAAATAGACCAAGGTCCCTGCCCGCGTAGAGATCAAGGCCCCGGGCGAATGCAAGGGTAGGAACTTGTTTTCTCACATTTATTAAAAACGTTTAGAGATGCTCTTGGTTGGGGGAGGGGACAAGGAGCAGGAATCTCTGTTGTCAGGAGGGTCACTGGGCCACCACTCCTCTGCTGGGGAGCGGCGCTGGCCAGGCCTGGACCATAACACCTTGGCAGTGACCTTGGGTCCGTCCCTGCTAACCCTGGCTAGAGCCTGGTTCCCTGAGTCACCCTGCCTCACCCTGCCTTGGGTTTGACTGTGGCTCGGTCATCTCAGCTGAGACAGTCCCTTGGTTTGGGAAGGGGATTTTCCCGAATGCCACCAGGTAAGTTCTCTGGCACGGGGCCTTGGCTGAGCTGCTGCAGGCTCTGCCTCCTTCCTGTGCAGGGCACCTTCCGTCTGGGGCAGCCCTCCTCTCTCCTCTTCCCTTCCCCCATTCCTGCCGCACCCTCCCCTGCCCCTTGCTCTGGCTTCAGGGTCTGCTTCCTGTCTTCTTGCCTCCCCCCACCCAGCAAACCTGTTCTGCTGTCCTGCTCAGGGCCAGGCACCAGACATTGGCCTCTTTGCTGTGCCTGCCCAGGTTCTCACAAGCTCTTTACTCCTCTCACGCTCTACTGTCCCTTTCAGAACCAGGACGCTGCTCCGGCCCTGGAGGAACACACCAGGTTCTTTCTGTGATGGCTGTCTTCTTGCGCTGATAGCCAGAGGGTGGACGCCTGGTATGGGGATGGGCCAGGACAGGCTTTCTTGACTTATGTCCACATTTGGGACTGGACAGTTGTTTGCAGGAGGGACTGTCCTGTGCACCGTTGGCTGTTTGGCAATAACCCTGGCCTCTACTCACTCAGATATCAGTAAGGGCCCCCTACTCCTGAGTCGTGAGAGTTGTTCCCGGAGGAGCAAAATCGCCCTGGGTTGTGAACCATGGGGCAGGGACATGGCAGCACCGTGTCTCAGGCTGGGCAGAGCCTGTGCTGGCAGAGACCTGAGGAATTCTCTAGTCCAGAGCCCACATTTTAAAGGAAATTGGGCCTCAGAGAGCTAAAGAATTGTAAGGTCACACAGGGGAGCAGCATGATGAAAGCCACATCTTAGAAAAAAAGACCTGGGCAGCTCTGTGCAGGCTGGGCTGGAAAACAGGCCAGAGGCAGGAAGGGCGCGCTTGGGACCTGGGCACGAGGCAGGTGCTGGGCAGTGCCTCCCACCTGCCAGCCCGGGCTCAGCGTGCGTGCAGCAGTCTCCTGGGGTGAGGGTGTGGAAGAGGCCCCGCACCCAAGGCCAGGAAACCAGGTGTGGGCCCTGCCTGGCAATGGGACGGCTGCGTGTCCCCTCTTACTGTCCTTATCTGTGAACTCAGGGCCTGTTTGTATTTGCTTCCTGCCTGGAGGCTCTGCTGCTGAGAGGGGAGCAGAGGCTTCATTGGGCAGGAGAGCCCTGACGGTATGGGAGAGTGGCAGTGGGTGTGCAGGAGCCCTTCGTGGCACTGCAGGGTCCTCATGCAATCAGCAGATGATGTGTCCCATGCCGCCTCCACCCCGGCACTTAAGTACAGGGAGTGTGTGGGGCCTGCCCCACCTGTAGGCAGTGGATCTCACCTGGGATCCAGCCAGGGGCATGGTGGGGCCTCAGGGAGTGAGAAGGGAAGCAGGTATGAGGACAGAGCCATAGTTCCCTTCTCTTACTGTGCTGGAAGGAGGCTCCTGGGTGGGTTGTGGGGAAGCTTGCAGACCAAATAAAAAATGTGGAGCATGAAGTCTGAGAACCATTTGGGGAGAGATATGACTGGGTCCTGGGCGTTTCTGGGCTGTTGAGGTTTTCCCAGATAGAGGCTCTTGGACCTCACGGCAGTCCTCCTCAGGAGGCAGATGGAGAATGGAGGTGCACAGGGGGCCTTGCCTGCCCACTCCCAGTGGGAGCTGGCTTCCAGGGAAAGGTGTACTGTGAGAACTTTTCCAGGTCCAGGGAGGGCCCCAGTGTCCCCACTGCAGGGTGGTAGAGGCATCCTGCAGCTCCCTGGGTCCCAAAGCCAGGTCTCTCTAGCAGGCTCCTCTACCTGCAGGGAGTGACCTGGCGGCCATGGGGTTTCCTCTCAATCATTCTGGGCTCTGGCTTTTGGAACAATAAATCTTCAGCATGAAGATCATGAATTTCCATGGTATGATTAATGGAAGAAAAATTTAGATGGCAGTGTGGAAACCGACCAGATTGAAAAAGTCCCTATGAGAAGTTGGGTGAGGGTTTCGAGCTCCGGACCCGGCCTGGAGCGCCACCTAGTGGTTCTGGGCGTGGCGGCCACCGTTCCCTCCGCAAAGCTTGGTGGATGCCCATTGGGTGGACGCTCTGGGCGGAGTGTGCCGGTCCCTGGGGAGCCTTGACAAAGTTCCACTGGGACTGTCCCTGGTACAGGGGACACAGGACCACTCCACAGTGTGGGCGACCTATGAAGCCGCTCCACGTCCTCGCCTTCCTCCCCGGCTGCTTGAACCATCTCTGCTTTAGTAATGCACGGGGACACCCCCACTACTTTTGTCATGCCCAGCCTGGGTCACCTTTCTGGTTTCTCATTTATGAAAATCCTACTCATCTTTTAAAGCCCGCACGTCCTGTCAAGCCTGCCTTATCAATACCGTTTCATCGTACTGCTGCTTACCACTCCTCCGGAGCTGGCTGGCGCAGGTCACCACTAGCTTGTGCCTGATCCCTGCCGTGGCCTCCTGGTGCCCCCCCAGCTTTCCCCTGTGCCCTTCGGTGGTCGTCTCTGAACAGCAGCCAGCGTGGTCTGTCAGGACCATGAATCACGTCACTGTCCAGCCTTAGGAGCTTCCCAGAATGCTAAGAACACTACCCACCTTGTCTATACTGATGCCTGCAAGATCTTGTCTCATCTGTCCCCTGCCACGTGTCACCTCCTTCACTCTGTTGCAGCCACGTGGACAGTTTGCTCCTCCTGGGGTGGGCCAGGCTCATTTCTGCCTCAGGGCTTTTGCACTTGCTGTTCCCTCCATCTAGAACATTCTTCCATCGCATCCCCTCTTCATTTGGGTCCTTACTTAAATGCCACCTTCCTGAGAGGCCTTCCCTGACCACTCTGTATCCCGATACTTTCTAACTCCTTGCCATCTTTGTTTTTCTTCATGGCATGTACCATCACCTGAAACTGTTACTGGTATGCTCATGGAACGTCTGTGTTCCCTATAAGAATAGCCTGTTCAAGGGGTGGGGGAGGCAGGGGTGGTTTGCCTATGCTGCTCATCACCACCTCCCCAGCACTCAGAACAGGCCCTGGCACTTACTAAATGGGTGCTCTGTTTGGGTTTGAGGGAAGGAAGTGCCCCTTCCAGGGGGCAACCTCTCCCCACACCCTTACCTTCCATGCACACATGTGAGAACTGCTCTGTGCCTACTCGTGGGCTACCTTGTCTTCACTGGTGCTTTGGGGTCTCCTCTCTGGAGGTAGGGCAGCTCGAAAGTGGGATGTGCTCAATTTCTGGGGTCATAACCCAGCTCCTGACACTTAGGAGCTGCTCAGTAGATACTCTTCAAAGACCAGCCAGCACCTGGCGCTGGTCAGCCACTTCCCATGCTTCTTCCATTTAAATTCTCACAACAATCCAGAAGGCAGGCTTACTGTCCTCACTGGGCACAAAAGGAGTTGGCAAGGTCACACCACCAGGAAAGCTGGAGCCGGGTATCAGATCCGTGTCTGTACCTCCAAAAGCCCTTGTGTGTATGCTTTCACCCTGCATGGAACGTTCCTGATCCCCACCTGCCCTATGTCCACCGTCCTTTAGGGACTGCCTCTTCCAACTGATATCTTGGGCTGGGACAGTGGTTGTCTTCTCTGAACTCCTCTACTATTTATTTGACACCAGTGTATACTGCTTGGGGTTGATGCTGCTTTTTCATTGTCCCCGTCCAGCTCGAGCAGAGGCCCCAGGGAGGCAGGTCTCTGAAGAGGTCGTAGCTCTTCTGGCACAGGACGCTGCAGGCTGTGGTACTCAATAAATACCGGTTGACTGATTGATTGGCTCCTCATGCTCAGCACACTTCCTCGGAGCTGCTGGAGGGAGGGAGGTGGAGTGTCAGCTATATGGAGCATAAAATAAGGCAGCTGTGGAGACTTGCAGCCAGTGAAACAGAAGCGTCCCCAGGTGAAGCCGGTGGCGTCGCAGCCCCGGGCGAGCATGGAGGAAAGTCGGTTTTGGGGCCCAAGCGCTGGCTGCTGGCTCCCAGGGATGGATGGCAAAGGCAGTGATGGACTCGGCCAGCCCACTGAGCTCCTGTCTACTTCCATCTGTGGGAAATTGGTTCTCCGGGCTCCTGAGAATAGTGGGCCTATGGCCCTTCTGGACAGTGCAGCAGGACACAGTCGCCGGAACGTCTGGGTCTGAGAAACTGGACTCTGACGTTCTTCCCGGCCCCAGAGACAAGTCCTTGCTCACCTTCCCTGACCACCGTGCCCCTCCTCCTGGATTCCTTTCTGAATGCTGGGGGCTCTCTGCTGACAAGGAGGGTAACCATGACCACTTCCGTGTGTCTGGAACCTTCAGTATGTATTACAGGGTTTTGTGTCGTTTAAAATTCGATCCTCAGAGTGACTGGAGGAGATTCGTGATGCTAGTAGAATGCCATTTGCCAAGATGGGAAAACTGAGACAATGAGAGGCTGTGGATTTGTCTGGGTCACACAGCCAGCGTGATTTGGGCCTGTAGCCATAGCTGACCTGTGGCCCCATTCTCACTCTTTCCCTAGGAGTTAGGGGTGGGGTCATGCAGCCTTTGGGTTCTGTGGACATGAACACAAAGGCAGTACTGATCTAACCACTTTCCTTTCTCTCCAGCTCTGTGGCTGTGGGCTGCTTGGAGTGGGCATTTGGCTGTCTGTGTCCCAAGGCAACTTTGCCACCTTCTCCCCCAGCTTCCCTTCGCTGTCCGCAGCCAACCTAGTCATTGCCATAGGCACCATTGTCATGGTGACAGGCTTCCTCGGCTGCCTGGGAGCCATCAAGGAAAACAAGTGCCTCCTCCTCAGTGTAAGTTGGACCCCCATACCCCAGCCCCCCAAACTCTGATCTCCCTGCACTTGGGCCACTAGGATGGGCAAGACCTGGAATGACTGTCAGCCTCCTGGATGCCCAACCTGAGCCCTGGGAAATTGTTTCTAGAATGTTTTTGCCTGACCACATCCCTCTTCCTGCGGATCCTTGATCATCCCTCCCACTCCTTGATTGGTTGTCTACTTTCTCTCCCTCTCTTATCTATCTGGTATTCCTCAGAAGTAGCTGGCCCCTCCCATACCTGGGAAGCCCGGTCTGGGTGCTTGCCTATCCCCTGCCTCCCTGCCATCCTTGTGTGCAACCCCATCCTGGCCATGACCACTACCACGTGACCATACCTAGGCGTTCTCTTTCCAGTTTTTCATCGTCCTGTTGATCATCCTCCTAGCAGAGCTGATCTTGCTTATCCTCTTCTTTGTCTACATGGACAAGGTGAGCCTTGTGAGAAGGGAGGGGGCATATGGCGTTTCACTGGGGCATGGCAGACCAGAGGAGAAGCACTGACAGGGACTTCCCTCTGAGGAAGGGAGAAAGGGAAATGGGACCAGGGAGCTAGAAGAGGCCTGGATGAAAGGTTTTGATGAGGGCATCATGGGGAAGGGGAGTTTGGGGGGCACGTGGGGAGGCTTATTACTTGTGTAGTCTTGGGAAATAGAATCCTTGAAATTACCCAGGGAGGCAATGGACAGCCTCTTGCATTAGGGAGCTCCCCATCACTGAGAGGATTCAAGCATAGTTATGTTGACTCCTTGGAGGAGGGATTCAGGTGTGTGCCCTCAACCTGACAGGTGAATGAGAATGCCAGGAAGGACCTGAAAGAGGGTCTACTGCTGTATAACACGGAGAACAACGTGGGGCTTAAGAATGCTTGGAACATCATCCAGGCCGAGGTGAGGGGTCGGGCTGGCTGGGGGGCGGGCCCTCAGACTTGACCTGGGGTCGCCATACAGGGGATGCCTCTGGAGAGAGACAAGCAGGTGAGTGGAAGAGGGTGGGCAGAACCTGGGCACAGGACGGGAGCCAGGGCACGTGCCTAAATGGGCCCAGGGAACTGGGACATGTGGATCATCTTCACCTTAGCAAGATCGTGGGTCAGGCCAGGAGGTTCAGATTCCAAGAGGAAAACAAGTCAGTGCAGCCCAGAAGCCCCATGTCAAGTTCTCGGGAGTAGGGGCCACCCACTTGGGATGATCCACAAAGCAGAGCATGTGGTCTGGTGCTCCCACCTGGGTCCAAGGCCCAGCTCAGGGAGGCAGGTGGGTGCTTCCCTTTTGGGTCCAGCCGAGACCTAAAGAAGGGACAAGAAGGAGGCCTTTGTCTCCTCTGCTGACCCCCAGAGAGGCAGCCTTTGTGGGGCCCAGTCGGTCCAGGCAGGGGAAGGTACAAAGGATGTGGCAAGTCTGACCCTGTGTGCTCCCTGCTGCAGATGCGCTGCTGTGGTGTCACGGACTACACAGACTGGTACCCAGTACTGGGGGAGAACATGGTTCCCGACCGCTGTTGCATGGAGAACTCCCAGGGCTGTGGGCGCAACACCACCACCCCTCTCTGGAGAACGGTGAGGCTGGAGGCACCTTCCCGGGGCTTCCTCCCAGAAGCCTGTGCGGAGGACAGTGTGGGGAAAGGACACCTGTGGAGGAGGGGTGCCAGGGACACGAGGGTATTGGCTTAACATAAGATGGGTGGGGGACACATGGGTCTGAATATCTAAAAGGCAGGTAGACAGTGGGGGGGGGCTGGACCCACACTTGGGAGTGTCAGAGGGTGGGGGTTGAGTGGGGGTCTCTGGCTGTGCAGGGGGGCCTTGTAGGTAGAGCCTTGGGGGGGAGGGTTGGGCCTGCTCCAAGGCCAGAGGACCAGGCCTGAGGGCCAAGGAGGGACAGGAGGAAAGAGCAAGGCTGGTGGAGGGGGGAGGGGTGTGTGAGGAGAGGGCAGTGAGGTGTGGGGGCTGGGCAGGAGGGGCACTCATGGTCCTGCCACTGCCTTAACTCTGGTCCCTGCTCCCCAGGGCTGCTATGAAAAGGTGAAGATGTGGTTTGATGACAATAAGCACGTGCTTGGCACGGTGGGGATGTGCATCCTTATCATGCAGGTAAGAGGCCTGTCTGGAGCCTCGAGGCTCCCCTGCTGGAGCTGAGCCAGAGGAGGAAGAGGAGGTACACGCACATGCACATCAGCTGACCAGGCAGCCTGCAGCCCGTGTGCCTTCCTGCTCTGCTCTGTCTTGAGGCCTTGTCTTTGGATACCTGTCCCAGCTCTGCAGGCACCGTAGGGCTGGGCTTCTGCGGCATTCCCCCTGGGCCTTGGGCCTGGTGCTGTCATTGTGCCAGTTCCGTGTGGGTTTGCTGGAGAACACGCCTGCCCTCCTTCCCAGGGACCTTCACCTGAGGCCTCGGGTAATACATCTGAGTGCAGGCTCACGCTCTGTTGGCGGCTGTCCTGGCCGCTCTGCCTATTAGTGGGCACGATCATCATGCCACTTCTTAGCATTAAGTGAGCTCAGTATGTGTCACAGGGTGCCGAGTGGGACCAGGCAGCTGGGAAGGGCTCTGCAGGCAGTAGCTGTTATTAGCAGGCATGCAGCGAGCAGCCACACTCTACAAACCCTGGCACAGATGCTGGAGACGGACCAGGAGGGAGTCCTCACCTCCCTTCCAGAAGATGAGGCTGGCAGGGCTGGAGGGGAGTGAGAGCCTCCCGACTTTCCTGGGACAAGCATTTCCGGGACTCTGTCCTTTGTCCATTTATGTATGACTCTAGCCATTTATGAATGGCTCCTCCAGCAGGAGCTTTCGATGCCCAGTTCCCCTTGGAGAGCTTGAACTTGACTGGCTGGTCCATGGAAAGACGGCTGACATCCTGCATGAAGTTTTCGTTCTTGCCCCTCAGCTCTTGGGCCTGCGGGTCTGAGGGTCTGACCGTGTCTGATTTCCCTAAGAGCTTTCCAGCTCAGCGGACGATCCTGCTGCCATTTTGGCCGAGCTCTGATATGAGATGTGTGCACAGGAGTGAGATTCTTTTCAGCATTGAGAACAGGGGCACCTCTCGGCTCCCTGTGGTCAGGCCTGGACCACAACCAGCCAGGGTCCCCTCTGGTTATGCCCAAACACTGAGTGCAAGAGCTGTGAGAGCCACGCAGTGTCTCCCGGTCCCTCTCTGTATGGCACGTGCCCACAGCACACTCTCTGTGGTGACTGTGAGGCCGTAGGCTGGCTTCCTCCTGCCTCCTGCACTGCTCTGCGTCCCCACTCCCTTCAGGGTTCAGGAGTTGAGGGAACACAGATGAGCATGAATGTTGTCCCAGGCACATCAGTGGTGAAGACACACCTGCTGCCGCCAAGACCTCATGTCGTGCTTTGCAGAACCAAACAGAGTGACTCGACCTCCCTGGTTCCCTCCTCAGTTCCATGGTAGCTGCCTCTTAGGATCGGGTCCTTTGCGCATTCAGTCCTCACCACAACCCTTGGAAATGGGCAGATTTCTGAGCCTCCTTGAGGCGTATAAGATTCTGAGGGGCTGAGCTCATCCGTGTGCCACCTCCTCTGTCACCACTGTCTGTCTGCTGCCAGCCGTTTTCAAGTACAGAGGGTTGTCCCCGCTTGCTCTGGGTGCTGTGTGGTAGACCCCAGGCCACCAGCTTCCCTCCAAGGGCCTCTCCCCCATGTCTTTCAGATTCTGGGCATGGCCTTCTCCATGACCCTCTTCCAGCACATCCACCGGACTGGTAAGAAGTACGACGCCTGAGCGGGCTGGTGGGGAGCACCCCAGCCCCACACGGACACTGTGCCAGGGGAGAAGATTTGAGCTTTGTGTTGCCTGCCCTCGCTCTCCGGACTGCTGACCCCTGCACCCACCTCCCCAGCCCACCTGCCCCCCAGCCCACCCCGCCTCAGCCTTCTTGGTGGGTGGAGGGTCAGGGAGGAGGAGGTGTGGACGAGGCACGCAGAGATCTTGAGAGGCTGGGGGGCACCTGGATTCCTGCATCTGTGTATTTGCCAAAGAAGACAGGGTGGGCTGGGTTCGTGCTCCGGGAGCCTCCCCGCCCCCAGCACTGATGCGTTTCTGCCCCTGCCCTTCCTTGCCCTGACACTTTGTCCCTATGGGGGTGGGGAGCAGAGCGCCCCCTCCTGGTGGAGAGACTGCCTGGCGGAGGCCGCTGGCAGCCGGGCACAGCCACCAGGCAGGAGAGCTGGCAGGGGCGGGGGTCTCACTGCCTCTGGGCAAGGCCCCTGGGAGCATCTTGCCCAGGCTTTTTATACTTTACAGTGTAACTTTTTTATTTTATTTTACTCTGATTATGATTATTCAGGAATATTATCTCTCAGATAAGTTTAGGGTTAGCTTTCTGATTTATAACTTTTTACTGCGTTGGTTTCTGTAATGGTTTGATTTTTTTTTCCTCTGAGGGTGGGGGACAGGTGGGGAGAGAGGATGTCCATCAGTTTTCAATCAGGACAAACCACTGTGCCATGCTTGGGAGGCCCTGAGGGGAGGCGCACTGAGCCGCAGGGAGAGGGGCAGGTGCCTGGGCCCAGGAGCCTGGAAGAGGCGTGTATAGCCGAGGGAGCGTCCTGCCCAGCACCAGGGTGTTTACTAATGCTGGCACCAGTGGCCAGGGCAGTTGGGGGTACTCTGAGGGGCACTGGTAAGTGCTTCACCAGAAACGTGGCCGGGACTGATGTGGGTCCTTTTACTTCACTGATGAGCAGTCTTTCTTTTTTCTCTTCTTCCTTCCTCCTGCCCTCTGCTGGCACAGGAGGCTCCCCTTCCACCCCACGCGGGCATTCCCGCCACAGGTTCTGCAAAGCCCAGTTACTTTCACAGACATTCCTGCTAGAAACTCTTGGACAAATACCTCTCTAGTTCAGATGCTGCTCACTTTCTCACATTGCTTCTGGAAGGGGAAGCAGTCCTGACACTTTGCTGCTCAGACAGTGGCAGAGGACCCATGACCATCAGGAGGGGAAGATGGAACTGGTGCCCATGATCATTCCAGCCACGTCCACTGGGCTGTAGCTTCCCTGCTGAGAGGGGGGGGAGCGGGGGAAGGTGGCCATGGGGCCACAGGGCTCTGGGGCTCACTGATGGTGGAGTGGGGGCCCCAAGAGAAGCACAGGGAGGTCAGTCTGGGTCTTGCTACAGCAGCCCCAGGAGGCCGACAGCCTAAAGGACCGACCGCAGTACTGATAGGGCAGGGGTATCTGACTGCAGCAGGCACCCCCATTCAGACTTTGTGCTGATCTGAGGGAGTGTTTTTGGAGCTTAAAAAAAGACAGTCAAGAATTCACGAGACTGAGCTCAGAAAGGCTATCTGCTAGCTAGGGCTAGTGCGCTTCCTCGACGGGGCCTCGCATGTCTCCTGCACCATTTGGCTCAGTACCTTGATTTACCACCAAGCTCACATCTCCCTCTCCAGCCTCTGCTTGTCTGTTCCAAAAGCTGAGACCCAGCCACCCAGCCAGCTACTCCTCCACTCGCCTAAGTCGGGACCAGAAGTACAGAACTTTGATGTATTCAGGATTCCCGGCTTGGGGGGTGGGAGTGGAGAGTGGGGTGGTCTCAACGAGTCCAGCTGAGTGAAGACCACCCCCTGAGACTGGAGCAGAGGTGCCCTGGGGAGGTGGGTTCTTGGGTGGGGGATGGGGCGGCACACGTGTGGGTCTCCTGGCCGGGAGCTTCTGCTGCCTCCCCAGGGACTCCCGACTGCAGGCTCACAGCCCGCAGGCACGCTGCCATGCTGCTGTAGACAGACACTTGGTGACCCAGCACTGGAGTCGCACGGTGGGCTTGGTGCCTAATGACCTTGTGCTTGGTTGGGGGTGGGGCGGGGCCGGTGTGTTCGTGCCCATCAATGCAATTTCAGTTTTTGTTAAAATCAACAGCAAAAGCCTAACACCTTGGGAAGGGATGTGTGCAGCCTCCCTGGCAATCTTGTTTCTGGAGCTTCAGGGGTGTGCTCCGGCCCTGCAGCCTCCGCCGCAGCCCCCCTCTGTCCCCTTACCTGTCCAAGCAGCCATGTCCACAGTCCCCCCGACTGCCTTCATGCCTCACCCCGTGCTTGACTGTGGAGGCACTTGACCGAGTTTCCCCAGGGGAAGGCACAAGTGGTGGTGGGTACTCTCCCAAGCCCCTCACCCTCCCTGCAGGGCAGTACTCACACCACCAGAAGTCCACGCCAGGTGGTGTCTGTGGTAGCGGCCCGATCTCTTCTCAGTTTCTTCCTGACCCTGAGCTCATTGGGGTGGGATTACCCGAATGAACTCTCTCACTTGTGGCTTCCCTCACCACAGTCAGAGTTCAGTCAGGTCTGAAGCAGGCTGCTTATAGATGAGACTTAGAAGGTCAAGGTTCTCCGGACTGCTTCCAGGGAGTGCTGGCCCTAGACTTGGCCTTTTCCTGCCGTCATCTTGCAGAAGAGGTGGGCAAGCAGGGACTGAGCTTTACCCTTGGGGGGTGGTGGCAGGTATTGGGGGGCAATAGCAGGTGTCCGGGGGCAAGTCTCCACCACCTTGCCCTAGCTGGAATACTGTCACCCCCTCTCCCTGCCACCATGGGCCTGCATCCTGGGCTCTTAATCCAAAAGAGTTGCTGACCCCACCCCACATCCTCAAGTGTGGTTTGACTTGGATCCAAGTGGCCATCCCTCCTTGCGTTGGTGGCCAAAAAGTAGTCCAGGTGGATGGAAATGACCGTCCCCTCCTCTGCAGCCCCCTGCCCACCCACACTGGTGGAGGTGCTAACTAGCAGGGACCTGGTGTGGGACGGGAGCTGGGTGCCAGGTGCCTGGAGTCTATCCTACATCCCCCCACCCCTCCGCATCCAGCCTCCTGAGGCCCTGGTCTCCCATCTCGCTCCTCCGCACCCCAGCGAGGCAGTAGTCCTGGCAGGCCCTGACCTCCCTGCCCCTTACAGGCACCCAGGGCCCAGAGCCAGGGGCTGGTGCCTGCAGCCTGCCCATGCCTGGGAGCACGTGAAAGCAGGGACAGCACGCTTGTTGGTTTCAGATGCACTTTTCTGCTTGCGATGCCGTATCTGTGCGCTTCCTTCATCCTGGACCTGGCTTTATTGAACATCATGTTTTTAGCATGTTTTTAAATAAAAACTGATAATGTGTCAAAAGCACAAACAGGTTGTCTCTTTGTGATTGAGTTTGTGTCCACTCAGCTGTGACTGTGACTTGACTTGTGGTGGTTGGTGTGAGGGTCACAAAGATGGGTTAGGCACCAGCCCTACTGTTTGTCTGAGATCCCTCAGAGCAAGCACTTCATCTCCCCTTCTTGGGCCCCAGTCACAGGTCTGCTGGGCAGGGTGGGGCTCAGACCCCCCTGGGATGCCCTTTGCCGAGTGACTACATGCAGTTATGGTCGGGGGCCAGTCCAGCAGGCCTGTACGAGAGGTCTGCTCACACCTCGGTGTCTGTCACTGGTCACATGTGGCCAGTCCTGTGGGACTGGATTGCCCAGGATTGTGCCCCCAGGAGGAGCAAGGAACGAATCATTCATTCATTCATGGCTGTTGGTTTTATACAGTTTTTCCCTGGTCCCTCTGACATCCCTGGGATTCATTTGGGCCTGAATGTCTTCCAGGAGTGGGGAGAACTCACAGCATGACTTGGCCCAGGCGGTGATCTCTTAAGGGGGGCTCTGAGACAACCTCAACGGCAGCATGGGACACCAAGTCATAGAGGTCAGCAGGGAGGAGGGGGCATCTTATGCCCCTCTGAGCCCACTGATACTGTGGCTTCAGGCTATAGATGTGTTCTTGGTTGGGTTCTGGTTTGTGGAGTTTCCTCAGCTGGCCCGTCCCAGTGACGAGGTGCAGGTGGGGGAAGCTCAGAGGTCATCCTTGTTGGGGGCCATGAGTACTGAGCTGGTATGGGAGTGAAGAGTGAATGTGTGGGCCCAGTAGCAGGAGAGGGCATCTCTGGACCCTTCTGTGTGTGGGGGCAGTCTCTCTCCCTCCTCAAATGCCAGGGCATTTTTCCAGAGTATCAAGGTTCAGGACCCCATCCTGCAGCTGCTGTGTCCCAAAGCTTCCAGAGGTCTGCTGAGGATGGAGGAGTCTGAGGGGACCCTCTGTCAAAGGTCTGACTAGAATGGGATCCCTGAAGCTCCCCTTAGGAAATTTCTCAGAAGGGACCATATGGGTGTGGAATTAGGAGTTGGTCGTGAACCAGGCCCTCTGACATCCTCTGAGGACCAACCACTTCATAGATGTGTGGGTGGAAGCCATTTCCTCTCTGCCCACTGTTCTGGCTGCCATCCCCATTAGGATGCTGGCCAGGTCCCTGTGCCGTCTGCTTTTGGGGGACAGAGTGAAGTCCGCTGGCTCCCAGGGCAATGCCCTGTTAGCACTGGGCTCTAGTCAAATGAGCTGAGCCATGAAAGGCAGGCTGCCCTGGCCAGGCAGGAGAGGAGATGTTCTTCTCCAGACAGGGCTGGGCATTGTTTATCTCTGGGGATGTCTGATGAGTAGGCCTGAGCATCTGTGATGGGTGCTGGGCTCTTCAGCCCGCACGAGGGGGGTGAACAAGATGACCCTGGAGGCCCTTCCCTCACCCTGTGTGCTATGGTGCTGTGGTGGGAGAGCTGCCTCCCTACCTGTGCTCAGCAAAGGGCACGTGAAAAAGGATGGCTTGTGAGCAGCAGCCGAGCAGGCTTCATCCCCATAACTAGAACTCTCAAAATGGCCAAGGCCAGGGCTTGTGGGGACAAGATGTTTATCTACCCAAAGAGGTATCGAATCTTAACTTGTGCCAACCACTGGGGTGCAGTGGGGAAGGGTCTTGAGCCAACCCTGTGCTTACAGAGCCAGCGATCCAATGAGGACCACAGAACAAACCGGATTGCAGCCCAGGGCTATGATCATGATGCTCGCGGGATGAGAGAGGCGCTGATCCCAACTTGGGGAAGCGATGTCACAGCTGAGAGTTGAAGATAGCAGTTAAGCTAGCAAGGATGGGAAGGTGTGCCCTGGTGATGGCACTGGAGCTGGTGCACAGAGCAAGCATGAAGAGGGCGTCTGCAGAGGGCGACAGCCACCCGATCACAAGGTACAAAGCCAGGGTAGAGTTGAAGTCGAGAACCGTGGGAGCTCACTGAAGTCGTGTGTGCCTGACTCACACCTGCCCTTGGGAAGGATCCCTCTGGTTCCGGCGTAGAGAGGATAGAGAGGGGCGTAGAGAGGGGTAAATGGGACAGGGTGGAAGCAGGGATGTCAAGGAGGGGCTGCTGCAGTGACAAGTGAGAGCTGATGGGGCCCACAGGGAAGTGTCAGTGGAAGGGAGACAAAAGCACCAGATTTGAGAGACATACAGGAGAATCACAAAGACTTGATGATTAGCTGGATTCACTGAGGGGGGTGCCTGGAGGGAGGGGAGACCATTCTTCCCATTCATCCGACATGACGTCCCTCGCCCTGGACAGGTAGATGACTAATTGCACCAAATGGAGGATGAGTGTGTTTCCCGGGGTTGGTGCTCCTGTGCCCGCAGAGACCAGCATGGTATAATTAAATCTCTCCTTTTGTTTGCATTGAGCTTCGCAGCTTGCAAAATGCTTCCACGTACGTTATCTAGGTTTCTCCTGACCTGTTATTTTATCTGCTGTCACGGGGTTGGAACTTCCAGCGTTAGAGATGGGCCATGTTCGGGTGAAGAGCACTGGTTTGGGAGCTGGAGGGTCTGAATTCTCACTGTGCGTGTGAGCCCTGGGGATCACTAAACTTGTCCTGCTTTTATCATCTGCAAAATGAGGACAATACCTATTTTGCAGATTTGCTGTGAGGATTAAGTAAAACTATGTATGTAAAGGCACCCAATCGGTTCCTGGACCAGGGTAAGTGCTTGGCAAGAAATTGGTCAGATCTGAGTTCTCAGGAGGCCCCAGACCAGAGGTGGAACCCCAGGGAGGAGCATCCCCCTGGCTGAAAGCTGGGGACACAGGAGAGTCATCTCCTGGGGACACAGGGAGTCGGTGTACGTGGGGTGGTAGTGAGCTGTGGAGTGGAGACGTGCGGGCTGGGTGGGCAAGCTTCCCCCATGCCTCCGTGTTGCTCTGGAATGGCAGCATTCAAGACTCCACAGAAACAAGAGGAAGTCAGATTAGATGAATGTCGCTTTGAACACAGAAATATTGGCATTGCGATGGTCCCATCTAAAGCACTCAGCAAAGAGGAGGAGGCTATCGATTGAGCCATCTCATTTCTGCTTAGTGTCTTGACAGCTGTGGAGATGGACTATTGCATGTCCTTAAGCTAACAAAAAGTGTTATGACCCTGCATGGGCCATGCTCAGGCCAGACTCTGTGACGCTGCCTGCTGGAATCCCCCCTCTGTGGCCCTACAGACCCCAGGCGGCCCCGAGCCACCCAGGGAAAGCCTTGGGTGCTGTCCTCTTTCCCGTGGCGTCCCTGGACACAGGAGGGCAGGGGTCTGGGGGAGCAGGGCCAAATAGGGGTCTGTGGCTGGGTCTGGTGGTGTGAGACTGTCGCCCAGAGACTTTCCTTCTGGTGGCTGCAGGGTAGGGTTCTAAGAGCTGGCCTTGCCCAGCATCCAGAGCAGGGCCGATGCAATGTGCAGACACAGTGCAGGGCCTACGTGCTATTTACGTATTGGCCTCAGGAAGCTCCTTGCTCTCTGCCTCCCTCCTCGTGCCCCAACTGACCCCCTACCTGAATTCCCGGGAGCCCAACACATTCTCAATATGTGTCTTTTTCCCTGGAAAGGGACAGCAGTTCCCGAAAGGACTCGGCCTTCTTATTTACAGCTTGGCACCTCAGGGAGACATGTTGAATTTGTTCTCATCCCCAACTCGGTGTTCTCTAAACCCCAATTAGGGATCTCATGAGCTGCTTTCAGTCTATTAGAAGTCGGGTAGAAATTGCTCATGACCTCTTCAAGAATGCCCAGGCTCACAGGAACATGGCCCTTGGGGCTCAGGCTGCCCTGGGCCTGTCCTCACTGATGCTGTTGGTACCTGCTGATGGCAGGGGACAGATGGGAGCTTTCCTCACTGCCCTCTTCACCCCTGGCCTGACCAAAGGATCCCAGTGAGTCCCTCGCAGCACCCTCTCCTTCGTGCCCAGTCCTTGCTCTGCTGGGTTTCAGCCCAGGGCAGAAGCACAAGGAAAAGGGACATAGGGGCTTCTCGTATATTTGTTTTTAAGGAGAAGGTAGTGGAATAATCTAGGCTTTTGGACCTCGTATCTCTACCACCCCACCCCACCCCCGCCCCGATAGCCTCTCTATTTTCAGTTGGGGAGAGGGAGTAGGAACCGGGGTCCCAGCTCAAAGTAGCCCACCTTGTGGTGACATGACAGCCTGACACTAGAGCACCTGCTGGGAAGTAGTGGCAATTGACAGGGCCAGCTGGCAGCCATCGAGGAGGATGGCTTCGCATAGCTTCTCACTGCTGCCCACCTACCTGAGGTGGCCACCAGAGCCTTTTCAGACAGCAGGGATATTCACCCACCGCACTCTTGTGCGGTCGACAGGGGCCCAAAGGAATGCTTGTCCCCCCAGGCACCTTTGTGTGCCTGTGTACGTGTGCCCACCCATTCACAGTGATGGTAGCGGAGAGCAGATGTCTGGGTCCAACAATATGGGTGACCTCGCACGGGCCCTGGATTGGGTCCATCCCCTGCCTGAGACACAAGCTGTCAGAGGGCTACTGCTGTGATTGTTCAGGGAATGAACTCAACCGAAGGGGCCAGAGACCCATGAGAGGTGGCCAGGCCTGTAGACGTCACCTGCTACATAGCAAGTGAGCTGGCCTCTTGCAGCTTCTCCCTGGCTGAGACGCTCTCACTCCCCATCTGCTTGCCCACCCCACCCTGGTCTGGCCATCTTGGAACCCCTGGAATCCAGCTTCCCCAGCTACTGTTCAGGATCACCCACTCACCTGCCCACCTCCAGCGAGTTTTCTAGACAGAAGAGTGGATGAGACAGAATGAAGGGTTTGTGTCATCACAGCATTTCCTTCTCATAGCTCCACACAGGGCCACCTAATGCTCTCCGCTCCTCTGAATAAGATTGACGTCATTCTGCATTCGGATGCAAGAGTGTGCCGCCCTGGATTTGAGGATCGGGATGCATCAGCTGGTCCAGGTGGAGAGCAACTGGTCTGGGTAGCAGTAGGAGTGTGTGTGTGTGTGTGTGTGTGTGTGTGTGTGTGTGTGTGTGTCTGGGCTCCTGACACTCGGCTGGGAGCCTGAGGGCCAGCGGAGGGGGCCCTTCGCCCCGACCCCTAACCACATGCAGCGTTGCTGCAGCTAGTGTAGGGCGATGCCCGTGGCAGGACATGCAAACACGGGCTCATCAACGAAGCTGGCTGGGCAGTGTAGTGAGCGACGTGGGGATGTGGGCTGACCACGGCTGAGAGCTTTCAGAGGCGCGCAGTCCGAGCCTATTTGCTTGTAGCCAGGAGCCAGTGGCACGTATGCGTAGGCTAAGGCAAGGTCCAATCAGAGAAAAGGTGAGAGCCGGCAAAAATAACGGTAAGTGGGACCCCGATCAGTGTGGTCAGTGGGCTTCCTCGTGGGGCTCCCCCTTTCCCTCCCTCTCCCCAGGACTAAGGTCCGCTTCAGCATGTACAGTGGGTTGAAAGACATCTGATGAACTGATGGCCTGGGATTTCCCTGTGGATGAGGAAAAAAGCCACAGAAGGTAGTCCTAGATACAATTCCTTTATTATCATGCCACCCAGCAGGTGAGGCCAGGCAGGCACTGAGGCCAGCGAAGTGGAGAGGTGTGTTTACAACTACAGTGACTTCTCTATATGCAGTAAGTTAAGGCAACTTCTCAGTCTCTAGAATATTGGGACAACCGTATCCAAAGGCCAGCTGGTTCCAGAAGCCCCCTTGACCTTCTACTGGGCTGCCTGGAATTCCTAGTGGCACTTGCACAGGGTGTCTCTGGGGCCAAAGCAGGAAGGGAAGGGGCACGTGAGAGGCTGGGGGTACAGACAGGGTGGGGGGCATTGTGCTAAACCAGAAAGTGGGGGTGATGAGAATGGAGCTGGACTCTCCCAAAGCACACAGGAGGGTGGTGGGAGAATGGGGCTGGGGACCTAATCTGTGCCCTTCCAGGAAGAGCACGCAGGCACCTGGTCTCCCAGCCATGGTCACAGAGGGCAGAGCAGGTGCTGCAAGAACGCACTGCAGGAGGGCGCGTTCGGGGCCCACTGCAATGCCTCACCCCATCCTCGCGTGGCCAGTGGGCTGGGCCCTGCTAGACCTCCCGAGGGATTCTGGGATGCTTAGGGTGATGCTCATACAAAGGAAGGTGGCAAATGTCCTTTGTGGGGAGCTCTAAAGCAGCGGTTCTCAAAGGGTGGGTCCGGGGCCAGGAGCCCCAACATCATCCAGGAACTTGTTAGAAATGCTCACTCTCCATGCTACCCCTGCAAATTTGAAGCTCTGGGGTGACACTTAGCAGTCTCCAGGTGACCTGATGCATCCTCAAGTTTGAGAACTTCTGGTTCAGACACATCACTAGCATCCTGGGCGATGTGAGTGCCACCCAGCAGTGACAGAAGATGCGTTTTCTCCTTAGCTCGTCAACCACTTTCCCCTATGCCTCCCCCACTCTCCCCAGGCCCAAAGTAGCCAGAAAGTAGAGAATATTTGCCAGGTGGAAATTGGGGTGGGTGGCGATGAACATGTTTCAGTTTGCTTCCTCTACCTCCAAACCCAGGGACGGACCGGAGTGGCTGCAGTGCACAAGGATTCCCCCACCCACCCCGGGGCTGTCCTGGCCCTGCCAAGCCTGAGTGTCTGTGGCTGTGCCCAGGCTGAGCAGCCTGCTGAAATTCCAGGCCATCAGCTCTGTGAGACAGAGGCTGCACTGTGCCACCCTCCAGCAGTACAGCGAGGGAAAGCTAGCTGAAGGTGGTTAACATGGGCCCCCGGGGTGGCTCTGAGTGCCTGTGACCTGAGACACCCCCCCCGGCTCCCAGCAGGGGGCAGCCCTCCCAGCCCTCTGGGCCCCTAGATATGATCTCTGCATGGGCACGAGATCCCACACGCCATGGGCAGGTTCTGATTGCTGAGGTCTGGTGTGCTCTTCCTTGGTGTCAACACTGGCACCCGAGGTGACAGGCTGGCAATTCCCCCGAGCATGGTCCCCAGGGCCCCCACGTGCTGCCTGAGCCAGTCCACCAGGAGGCCCCGGCTGTCAATCGGGAAAGGAGCCAGGCCGCTCTGCAGGTGTGCGGGGCGCGCTGGCGGTGGGGCCAGATGGATGGTTCCGTCCGATCTGGGAAGGGGGGCCAGGCCGCTGCTATTGGACAGAGAGTGCCCCCTGGGGGACCCGGTGTTTCCGAATGTCAGAATGTCAGCCAGATGGCTTCCTGCAGAGATGGAGAGCCACAGGATGCCGAGGAGCAGGGGCTCCCAGCCCAGCTTCCCTGGCTTCCATCAGCTGCTACCGCCTGGCAGGTGTCTTAATTGCTCTGAGCCTTGATTTGTCACCTGTAGAGGGGGGACCAGTACCTTCTTGTTGCGATCGCCACGGGAGAGCATGTACGTGACTCACACATTCAAAGCTCACGGTAGGCCCCCGGTGACCAGCAGCATCTGCTGTGGCCCGACCTGTACAGAATGCTGCCTTCCTTCCTGGGTCCCAGCGTGTCGGGGGCCTTTTGCTTGCACACGGCTGATGACAGCTGTCCACAGGCATGCCCTTCTCTATCCGAGGAATTCATGACCATGACGTCCAAGCAGTGCCCTGGGTGCAGATCCGCATGCTCTCAGGCAGGGTGGGCACATCCTTGGCTCCAGACTCCAGCCCTCTGTGTCCTGAGCCAGAGCCTGCTGTAACCTGGGCCTCCATCTCCTCTGCCCTTGCCTCACCTCCCGGGCTGTGGGCACCAATGAGCAGGTCACCGTTCCCTAAAGCTCTGCGTTGTTCCATCTCTGTAGCTTGGGCCATCCATCCTTGGTCTGGGTGGGCCGGTGTGCAGGAGCCTTTTGCTCGCAGCCAATCCTGCCTTCAGCCAGGATGGCCTAACCCAACACGGGGGGCTGGGGCCAGTGCTACCTGCCTATCACCCTGTCCCACCTCCACAAGCCCCACTGACCTCAGTAAAGAGGGCAGTGGCTCCAGCAGGGGCCACAGGACACAGCCCTTCCCCTGGCATCACCACCACCCACGGGCCCCTCCACTGGAAGAACACAGCTCTCTTTCAGGCCTCACTTGGTAAGACCTGTCAGTCTGTGACCTGGCCTTGCCGAGAGCTTGGGAGGTAGTTATTTCTCGGCTGCACGAGTCCCAGAGAATTGGAAGGCAGCAAAGATAGTCCCAGCACCCTTTTTCTCGGCCTTGGCACAGTCCGGGATTACCAGAAAGCTGGTTTCCCTGTTAATGGATTTGCAATCGCAACCCCAGGGCCCTGGGGGGCAGAGTTGCTGAGCCAGCCAGGGTTCCGACAGCCCCCAGGGGATCTCCGGGGTAGAGGAGCAATCTGCCCAGGGAAGCTGGTCTTTCCTGTGCATGTGAGTAATCTGCATTCGGAGGGCATACAATTTCTATACATGTAGGGCAGTGTCTGGGGACAGCAGTGACCTGTGTACGGAAGAGAGCACAGCCTTCACCCAGGACTGGCCCAGGTTACCAAGAGCTGCGCTCATCACCCTGGGGCTTGCCATGAGTTAGAGGCAAGGGGTGACCTTTCCTGGCCTTGATGTTGGCAACAAGGGGTCGCTCCCTCATGGTGGGTCCCCAGCCCCGGAAGCTTAGGACCTGGAAGGTATAGGAGCTAGGTGCGGGATTCCGGGACTATGAGCTACCCACTTGTGACAGTTACTTGGAGAGGGTCCCTGTGGCTGACTCCCAAGTTGACACCTGTTCTTTGGAAAACTGCCAGCGTCTCTACTCTGCCTTTTCCAGGGTTTTGTTGTTGTTGTTCCGTTCTATCTTAGTATTTAAGAAAATGGTTCCTGAAAATTCCCTGCCTGATTCAGAGAAGCAAGAGAGAACCAAAGGAGGGGACTGGATTCACTCTGGGGAGCAGAGCAAGGGCTCTGGGAGGGGCACGGTGGTGGTCATGGAGTCTGGGACTGTGGGCCCAGGAAAAGCAAGGCCCAGGGCGGAGCACCCCTCTACTCAGCATTGAGCCTTCTCAGTGGCCCCCATATTGCAGGGCCTGTGACTTGGTCTACCCAGGAAGGACTTTTCACTCCCACCCACACGAAGAGCTGGAGATCATTTAAAAACCTGGCATTCCTGAGAATCAGGCCATAGGAGATCCCTGCAGGGCCTAGTTACTACAGAGGGGGGGGGCACAAGCCATAGTGTTCTGGGGGATCTCTCCCAGGGATGGCTTCTGGGCAGTGCACAGGGTCCTGGGGCAGCATTTGCCTGTGACCTTACCTGCCCTGCTCCTCGCCCTGGTGGTGCCTAAGCCCAGTTTCTGGGGTCTCACCCCAGGCCTCTCCACTGCCAGGCCCTGTGAGAAGGAACCAGGCCAACAGGGCGCTATCTTCCAGGTGACAGGGGTGGGTCGGTGTATCAAAGGCTGGGGCTTCTGGGGGCAGAGCCCACCCTGACTGCCCCACCCCAAGCAGAGACAAGACGAGGGGTGCTCAGCACCAGTGGGGAGATGATGTGCCCCAGTGGGGAGTCCCAGAGGGGCCAGAGTTTTTAGACCTTCATTCTAGCTTTTGGAGCTGGGAGGGAGCAAAGGGTGTGATTCTCACCACCCCCTGCAGTCCACGGGACCCCACTGCTGGTGAGGGGTGCTGGTGGCTGTTTCCTGGCAGGATGCATCCTGTGCCCAGGGATCCTGGCAGTGAGCACTTGGTAGTGGAGAGAGGGGGCTGAGGGCCCCCGGCCTGGGTGGGAGCCACAGGAGCCATGGTCTTGGGCACTTGGTGGGTCCGAAGGGGCTAGGCACACAGTAGAGGGAGTTTCTAGGCAAGCTGGTGCTGACTCTGCAGGCCTGGAAGATGGGATGTGGGCACCTGTCCTTGCGAGGGGCAGTTGGCCATTAGTAAAAATGCAGCTGGAGCCTCCGGTGCAGGCAACAGGTGAGAACCATCCCACAGATCTGCCAGGTGGAGAGAGCAGAGGAGCAAAGAGCAATCAGAACCTCAGCAAGCAGCCCTCCCCAGAGTGCCCTGGAGCAGGCCTGTCACACTCGGGTGCACACATGGGCATCCTGATGAAGGCAGATTCCAACCTAGGAAATCTGGGGTGGGGCCCGAGATCCTACGTTACCAACAAGCTGTCCACTTCTGGTCTGCGGTCCCAGATCTCCAGAGACGGGCCAATTTAACTAGATCCTGGGTGGTAGTAGTTCCGCTCCCTCACTGCTGTCTGAAGCTGTCTTTCTCTAGGAGAGGTTCTGTCTGTGTTTCGCTGCTCTCAGACTCCAGAGCAACACTAAGGTTCATAGTCAGTTCTCTGGCTGATGTACAGAAGCCACCGGGCTCTCAGAGGCGCGCCCAGAGGGGTCGCCAACTCTTCCTGTTAAGCCAGCTTGGGATCCGGCACCAGGCCCAGCCCCAGCAGCTGGCCTGACAGTCCCTCCATTGCAAGGGGCTGAACAAGGAGGCACCAGAGCACCCTGCCCAAAGCTGGGCAGTGCTAGAAATTCCCCGTCCCCCTGGGGGGTCTCACTTCGCCAATCTCTAAATGCAGCACAAGAAGCTGTGGAAGTCTCAGACCCTCGAGGCCCGTGACTATGATCTTGCTGTGATAGCGATGCCATTGGATCCCAGAGGCAGAGGCGCCGCGGGGGCAGCCCCATACCTGTCTTGTGGCACGTGGGCAAAGGCAATTTCCTCAAAGATACAGAATAATGCCCATCGTCCCCAAGAGCTTCTCGCCCCTTTGCCCTGCTCTCCATCCCCACAGGGCGGACGCTGGAGTCCCTGAGCACAGCTCGCAGCTTCCGGACTTGGTCCTAAGAGCTGTGCTAATCCACTTTCACACTCAGCCACGAGCTGAAGGCAGCCCGAGAGGCTAGCTTGTCTCCCACTGGCTTCACGCAGGTGCCATCACAGCCACCACACCCAGGGGTCATGCGGCATGCCCTGCTCCCTGGCCCTTGTGGTCTGACGGCTAACCTGTGGGGCTATCTGGATCTTTCTGGTTCTGGCTGAGGTTGGGGAGGGTAGATGGGAAGGGTTGTGGCCACACCTCCTACAGTGTGGGGTTTGTGCCGGGGACTGGGAGAGTGGAACTTGCTGGAACTTGCCCGAGTGTTCCTGGGGTGCCTCCCAAGGGAAGGCAGAGAGAGGCTGGAGGTGTATGGGCCAGACTCTCCCCAACACATGTCCACACATACAGATGGAGCCTCCCCAACACATGCAGATGGGGCAAGGATGCACTCAACATGCATGCACACGTACGCACATACACGAGCACACACACAAGCACCCTGATTCATGCCAAGGAGTAGTGGCCATCTGATCCCTGAGGGAGCACCCGCGTCTCCTTCCTGAAATCAGCACCCATCGCTTTGTGTGGCCAGCACAGGGTGAGCAGAGAAAACAATTGACAGGTCGAGTGCAGGAGCAGGAGACGGCAGAGGATGGAGGATGGGGGGGGGCGGGGATGGCAGCGGAGGGGGCCCAGCTTGGGGCAGCGCTGCACGGGGCACAGCGCCCTCTTCTGGCAGCTGTCCAGGCACAGCATTTGCCACCCATGGGGCTCTTTTTTCACAGAGAGATGGCATTCTCTCAGTTGCTTTTGAGGTTTTTGAGCCAACACCTGATTGTTACCCAAGAGCATCAAGGAAGGGCCGGAGAGGTCCCAGGAAGCCAATCCAACATGATCTTTCAGCTTTCCCTTTTAATGACCTGCAGATCCCAATCTCAGCTGTCTTGTGAGTTTTCTCGGCTCTGCAACATGTTTCCATCCTCCAAACTGGGACTGTCCAGGTGGGAGTGCGGTAGCTTCTCTTTGGGCCTGTGTGATCTTGGGGACAGGTATATCTGTCTCTGAGCCTCAGCTCTTCCTCTATCAATAGGAAAGCCTCCAGACTGTTCAATAGCCTTCCCTGGAGAGATTCTTTAAAAACTAGGATGACAGGACCACACCATCACGGTTCCCCTCCTGCACCCTGAGCCTTTGATAAGCCAGGCAGTGGCCCTCCTGAGCCCTCGGAGTAAAGCCCTCCCTCCACAGCAACCAGTCAGGATTTTGCAAATTCAATTCCCTCACCCTGTCACTCTTCCCATCTTAATTCTTCTTGTTAAATCCCTTCAAGGTTTAATTATATATCACTTTCTCCAGGAAGCCTTCCCTGACTGCCCATGGCAGGTTATGGCCTCCTATATGCTACCCCAAGCCCTAGGTTGCACACGTGCACAGTGCCTCTGCCTGCAAGTGACAACCCATGCTCTATGTGTCTCCTCTCTTGAGTGAAAGCTTCCTGGGAGAAGGGACCACATCCTGCCCGCTGGTGGCCCCGGCACTAGGCTTAGCACCTGACACAGAGCAGCTCTCATTACAAAGCTGACAATGGAGGCTCAGCCCTCAGCATCCTCTGCACAGCCCCTGGGTGGGAGGCTTCCAGAGTGTGTGTGTGAGCAGGGTGGTAGGAAAAGGATGAGCCACTACATCCTTTCTAGACAGAAGCTTCCCTGCCAGAGTATGCTGGAAATTAGCTTCCAAAGTTATCTCAAGGTGGAGTGCCTCCAGAGTCTACCCACAGTAGAACACAGAGCCCCAGGACTGGGGTCCTCACTGGCTCTGCCATGGTGGCCATGTGACAGTGACCACATTGCTGGGCTTGGTGTCTTCAGATGTACACAAGGGGGGGCGGCGCCCAGTGTTCTCTACCCTGGTGCACACTGGAATCCCTGAGGGCTTTAAAAAATACCCAACGCCAGGCCTCATCTCGGAAAGTCCGAGTCTGAATCTGTGGAGTTGGGCCTTATTGTCACGTGCAGCTGGGGCTGCCAGCACTGGCCTAGGTACCTTGTAAGGTCCTTCCAGAACGCAGAGCGATTCGGAGGTATCCCAAGACCCCCATCATCCCTTTCAGGTCTGAACATCCTGAGTAGTGAGTGATGTGTCTGGGGTGGACACAGAGGCCCCGCAGGGTCTGGCTGAAAGGAGCGCCTGGCAGCAGCATGGAAGGGATGTGTGTGCCCATCGTGTGCGGGGCACCCGGCTTCAGTGGGCCGGCCGGCGTCCAACTTCTGCGGCAACCTGCAGCCACAGACAGCTCCGGGCTCAACAGGGACCACTGCCAGAGAGTTCCAATTGTTAACGGATTCTCCAGTCTGCCTCCTTGGAAACTCCACCTGTTGTTCCTATCTGTCTTCTGGTATCCCCGGAGTGTCCCCTTGCTCCCCCACATGCCTGCCTTTGGGTATTTAAGGACTGTGATGGTTCCCTCTCCTCCCTGGCCCCTGACCTTCCCCACGTCTGACCCTCCGGTGCCCTGTGGCTCCTGTCACTCACGCGGGCCAGCGTTCTCAGCCTGGCTGCACACTGGACCCACCAGGGAGCTTTACAAGGATGCTGATACCTGGCCGTGGGCCCCAGATGATGTGACTAAATTATGCTGGGGTGTAGCCTGGGTCTTGGGCAGTTCTGACGCTGGCCAGGTGGTCCCCAGGTGCAGGCAAGGTTGAAGCCTGCTGCCGTGGAGGCTCTGCGGAGATCCTGTGTCCCTCCAGCCCACCACCATCTCTCCTAAGTATATCAGCGCCTGGTCCGCGCACATCCATGGGGCCACAAGTGACATGTCGCCAAATATCTGCAATCAGGGTTTGTTATGTTAGCCACATTTTCTGCTTGGCGTTGAGAGCATTCACGAGACATGCTGTGATGTTCTAGAATATTGCAGCACGTGAGTCTCACTGAGGCAGGGTCCTTACCAAAAATCACAGAACCTGAGAGCTCCAACAACCAACTCAACCAGAGCGGCTCCTCGTGTCTAATACCCAGGCTCCTATGTGGGATTTCCACAGATTAGAGAAGTCTATCACTTCACGGGAGGCTTGAAAAATATCCAACTCCTCCATTTTATAGGAAGGAAGCCTGAGGCTCAGAGAGGGAACGTGACTTCCTCAAGGTCAGGTGAGAAGCGGGGAGGCCCTCTGACCTCTCCTCGGGTCCTGGAGACCAGGGGCACAGGACACCGCCTTTTAGCTGCTGAGGCTTGGGGATCTTTGCAGGGCCAGGCCGGGCATGTGTGGGGAAGGCGTCCGGTGCCCACTCCGGGGACCAGGGCTGAGCCTGGGGCCCGCCGGGTGGCCAACCTGGACTCGGCCAGCTGAGTTCCAGCATCGGCCAGCAGAGGGAGCTGTGACCGAGGCTTGGCTGCCCAGGGCCGGCGGAGCAGAAGAAGGGCACAAGCTGGGCGTCGGGCGAGGGGCGGGGTCCACGGCGGGGCCGGGGCAGCCCCTCTGGGGGCCCTGAGCGAGCAGCACCTCCACAGCAAGCTGCGCAGGACCAAGGAGTCATGGGGGTACGACATGGTCCTCCCCTCCCTGGGCAGTGCTCCCACCCCTGCCTATTTCACTTTGACCTCAGGCTTGGGGCCAGGCAGGCCCACCCCCTGCCCTGGGGGTCACTGGCCCTGTCTTCAGCCTCTCCAGGCTCCCCCAGGCCCAGGAGGCCAGGGGGAAGGGGATGGAGTGTGGTCCAGACGTGGTCAGTGTGCACACAGAGCAGGCCCCTCACACCTGAAGGAGACGGCAGGTTTCTGGAAACAAGTTATCCAGGAGCTGGAGCACACAGCTGCCCCTTCCTCACCCCCCAGTGGCGCCTCCTCAGCTCACTCTGTGGGGCAGAAGGCCTGCGCCAGGGAAGTGCCAAAGGGGGCCTGCGGATGCCACGCGGGGCTTCTGGCCTGCGTGCCAACTGTTGGAGATGGGGCAAGCTGCTCTGGCCAGGAAACAACTTTTCGAGAAGGCTTTTTTTTGAGAGACAATGTGCCCACATGGAAATGAATAAAATAACGAAGGGTACCATTTATTGAACACCTGCTATCTGCTCAGCGACGAGCCAAGTGATTTACATATATATTGCTAATCCTCTCACCAAACTAGGTATAATTAGCCCCATTTTACAAACAAGGAACTGAGGCCTAGAGATGGCGTAACTAGCCCTGGGTTGTCTGCTTCCCCCTACCCCCCCGGCCTCCAGCGGGTAGAGCCCCGGATGCACAGACCTACGTGCCCAGGCCGTGCAGTGATCTGGAAGGAGCCCACACTGGCGGGCTCTCTGAGCCAGCTGCCGCTACCGCCCTCTGCTTCTCTTTGCATGGAACTCTGTGTTGGAGGGCGGGTGGGATTGGGGAAAGCAAACACCACAAGTCAGGAGGCTTGGGGACCAGTTCAGGAGATGACACCCTTGGTCTTTTCTCAGGGTCCCAACCTTCTGATCCGTGGAATGGGAGAACGAGGACACGCCTGGCCTGGGTCTCACGTGGTGGCAGGAACAGAAAGCGCCTGAAACTGCTCTGAAGTCTACAGATAGCCTGGTAAACCACCACTTCTGCTTGCGGGGAGGCCTTCCCTGTTGAGCACAGTGAGCGTGTCATGCTCATGACCTCATTCTTGTCTAGACCTTCTGTTGCACGGCTGGGGGAATCCATGAGGCAGGCAGGGACGTGGCTGCTCTACGCCTAGAGCCCAGAGGATCTCCGGGCCTCTGACCGCCACCCCCCACCCCTCAGGGCTGGTAGTCCCGGTCCTTACGGGAAGGGCGGGGCGGCACTGCGCTCCCTCTGGAACTTGCTGCGCCAGGCAAGGTGGCCACGCAGGGCCCAGCCCCAGGGTGCCCCTCCTGAATCCTCTCTACCGACCCTGGACTGGAGCGACCGAGAGACTACCAGTGACTTCCTGGGTGTAGCAGGGAGGCGGGTGGAGCAGGGACACAGCAGAAGGCATCGCTCAGAGCAGAGAGCTGGGCATACAGGAAGTGTACATCCACGGGCAGGCATGTGTGTGAACACACACACCGGGGAATGAGTGCACATGCATGCACACACACACACACACACACATGCACCAGCACACCTGAACACATACCCGTGCACACAGTGCCACGTACACCTAGATGCATGCGGATGACCCACGGCCTCACACCTACCCCGGCAGGCTGCACACACACACCCGCGTGCACACACACAGGCAGCATGCACATACCTGAGCTCACACTCACACTCCTCAAGTTGGGCCCCAGGGCCCCCAGGCATTTTCCTTCATCTTTTCTGGGGAAGAGAGTGACCATGTGATTCAGGCTTGGCTGCTCAGGGAAGGTGGCAGAAGAGAGGGAGAGGGCAGGGCAGCACGTGGGAGTGCAGAGGGCAGTGATCTGCGATGCCCACCCAGGGGAGAGGGGTTCACAGCTCTGCTAGAAAACCCCGTCCTTATCTGCCCTGCCTCCAACTCACCTGCAGACAGGCCACCCCGATGCCCACCGCCCCCATGAGCAGTAGGTGGTCAGCCAAGAACTGCTCCAGCTTGGTGATGCAGCCTCCCTGTAAGGTAAGGGCAGGTTACACACGGTGGTCCAGAGGTGGGCGAGGCTGGGGCAGGAAGGGCTGGTGGGGGTGCTGCATCCACCCAGATGAGGGCAGGCCAGAGGCTTAAAGGGCCTGGTCCAGCATTTCAATGGCCCACAGGCTTCTTGAGTGACCCAGGGGCATGCCATGGTGTCCCAGGATCTCCCAGGGCTTTGTGGAGACCATTGAAGGCCAGCGAATAGGTGTTTCCTGCATCCCCCCTCCCCGCCCCTCTGCCAAAGCCTGCCTCTCGTGGGGGGCGGGGGTGCTCCTGGATGGCCAGGGCCATGGCAGAGCTCGGCTGGAGCTTGGGCACTCACCTCCACCTTGTAGATGTTGGAGGGATGGACCCGCTGGCCACAGCGCACCACCACCGTCTTGCAGCAGCTGTCTGGCACCCGGCGGCCCTCGGCCTCCTGAGACAGGATGTACGCGCTGTGCTGCCAGTCGGCAGAGCTGTTACTCCCGCAGCACTTGAACTGGAAGAGAGACAGACGCTGAGGGCCAGAGGCCTGGGGCTCCTCCAGCACCTCCGTGTCTGGGCTGCAGGACTCATTATTCAAATATTAACCCATCCCCGCTTTGTTCTCCCTGTGATTTTTCCTTTGCCTATTATGCGTAGTGTGCTGGTCTCTTTGAGGCCCTTCTCTCCAGGCAGGTGCAGAAGCTGGCTGTGAGACACCTGCTGGCTACCTTCTATCCACCCAAGTCCTGTAAGGAGATCATGCTCGGGGTTCTGAGGGCAGGGAGGGTCTGTGAGAAGATGCATGGGGAGTAGAAGCAGTTGGGTCCCTGAGAGAGTGGGGCTGTGCACCCCGGGCAGAGCCCAGGGCAGGGCCAAGACCATGTGGGAGTGTTTTCCTAGTCACCCAGGGAAGCAGGACCCCAGGGGCAGGGACCCCGCCTTGCCTCAGAGGTTCCTGGGCCCTCATTCAACCCTTGAAGCCTCAGAGCCCTCAGACCAACAGGAACACAGAGAGCGTCCCAGAGCCCAGGACAGGCAGGTCAGTGTTGACCAGAGGGGCGGTGTCAGTGCTGGATAAGACTGGTGGGCTTCTGCTCTGCTCCAGGGCAGGACAGCTCCAGCCCGGGGCCCCGGGGATGCAACAGGACACTGCTTCTCTCTTGCCTTTCTGAGTTGAGGGACCAAGTGCCCATGTGAGCCACAGAGCCAGCTGGGTGAGGCTGTCTGTGTGGGGGTGCAGGCAGCATGGGAGGTACGTTCAGTACAGTTAACGAGGGTGTGTTAGGCAACTACTATGCGCCAGGAGTGAAGCCGGGCCTGGCTCTTGCATCAGCCACCTGGTTCCTGGCTTTCTGACGCTTCTCTGGAGCTTACTAGGACAGACCCGGGGAGACGTGTGTAGCTCAGAGGAAGGGGCGAGTAACTCTGTTCACGAGCCTGAAAAGGCCCCACAAGGAAGAGGAGGAGCCCTGAGGAGGCAGGCAGGATGGAACAGCACCTGGGGCTGGGAATAGCACGGTGTGTGCGAGGAGTCACGTGGGATTATACTTCTGCGTGGCCCCTGGACAGGTTACTTGCCCTCTCTGGGCTTCAGTTTTGGCACTTGTAAACGGGGCAGATGAGGGACCTCAGTCTGGTGTGTGAGGACCGTGAGAAGTTATTCTATAAAGCCTGGAGAAGAGGGCCCTGCAGGGCAGAGCAGTTAGTAGGAGACACCCTCTCCTACGATGATCGTTTTGTGAGTACATGTGGGTGAGGCATGCAGGTGCCATTTGTGTACTGGGGTGCAGCCCGCGGCCCAGATGCTGGCCCTGGCCTGAAGCCGCTGCCTCCTTGAGGCTGCTTCCTCAGGCCTAGCTGCAGGCTGGGCCTGAGGTCCCTTGTGCACCTCTGGTTCTAACTGTGGCTGGCACGTGTGAGGTGGCAGACACTGGCTCCCACAGTGCCCTTCCTCATGCCGTTCCCTCCCTCCCTAGGCAAGCCCAGGACCTCCTTCCTGGCCCCCCAGGTGGCCTCCCCAGCTCTGTTCTCCACTCCGAGGGCCCTCCCAGCCTGGTGCTGGGTGCCGCTGCCGGCTCTGTGTCAGGCTCCCAGCGTGAGGCGCCGAGGGCAGGGACCAGATCCTCACTCGGGAGGCCCAACAAGTGCAGACCTAGCCTTGGACAGGGCTGCCCCACAGGGTGTGTGCAGGCAAAGCGTGTGGGTGTGGATGGGTGTCCCTATGTCACGGGTGCCTGAGCCACTGTAGCCAAGGACAAGAGACCACTTCATGCAGAGATTACTGGGGGCTAAGCCAGTCCTGGGGAGATGAGGAGGGTGCCTCCCCCACTCAACTAAGATGCCCCTAAAGCTCAGAGCCCCACCAACCTCTGCTCTGCTTACTTGCCTGCTATTCCTGGCAAAAAAGACCAAGGCTTCAGGCCCAGGGTGGGGTCTGCAGACACAGAGCTAAGGGTGAGGGTGGAGTGGCAGGGAGAAGGGAGACCCCAGCGCACAGGCAGAGCTTCCTCAGATTTTCAGACATGGAGCCATCAGGATCCTGGGGCCACAGTGTCCAAAAGAACTTTCTACAGTGACAGAAATGCCTTTTATGTGTGCTGTCCAATTTGGCGACTAACCACGTAAGGTTATTAGGCACTGAAGTGTGGTTTGTGACTGAGGAACTGGTATTTATGTGAAACAAATTTACATAATCACACACGGCTGTGACCACCACAGTGGCTGGTGCAGGTCTGAGGTCCACTTGCCCCTTCTCTACCTCAGGCAGGAGTGTGGGTGTCACTGGGAGAATTTGCTGAGTGTCTTCATAGACAGGACAGACTGCCCTTCTGCCCCACGCTCACAACTGGGAAGTTCTTACAGTGGCCTAACTGAAATACCTCCACTCCTCAGGGACTGTGGCTGTCTGCACCCAGAGGAGGAAGCAGGCAGCCTTGTTGATGGAAAGAGCCCGGATCCTGGCCAGGAGATGGGTCAGCCAGCTTGCTGCCCACCGGGGCCTGGCGGGGAAAGGCATGGGGGGTGGTGCTTGGAGGTGGCAGTTGGGGGGGAGCTGGGGTGGGAGAGCAGGACACAGGACGGGGAGGACAGAGCGAGGTTCAGTATGCAGTTTTCACAGTGGGGTGGACTTCTCCACATGTGATTATACTGAGTGCTCCACAGGCACTACGAGGCTGCAGTTTTAGAGGCCAGTGTGGCTCAGAGAAGGTAAGTAACCTGTCCAGGGCTACACGGACAGAAGGATGGAGTCGGGATTTGAACCCACGTCTGCAGGGGCTTCGAGCCCATGGGGCAGGTGCTTACGTCCTGCTGGAGGCGGTCCACCGACAAGGTGATGTCCACAGCTCCGGGCTGCCTGTAGTTCTCAGCCAGGGTCCGGGTCAAGTGCTGCTTCAGTTCCTCGCTGAGCTGGAGAGCGGGGAGGGGAGGCGGCCTCAGTGGAAGCACCCAGCCTGGTCCCACGCCCCCGGGTCCTTCTAACCAAGCCGGGAGGGAGGAGTGGGAGGCTGTGCAGGAGTTCACGGGGCGGGGGGAGGGGGGGGAGGCTGCAGAAGCCGGGGCCCTGACAGGTGCCAGGCAGAGCTGAGAGGCTGGCAGGGGGAGGCCCGGCTCAACACTGGTGGCAGGGCAAGGAGGCCGGGCACAGGGGCGCTTTTAAATCTGTTTTCATTAGATGATGAGGAAATATTAAAAATATTTACAACTGTTACCCTGCAGGCACGCATCGGTTGTACGGGTGCTGGCTTACAATAACCAATGTGTCATCTGTCTCACCCTGGTCGTGGTCTCAAGCCCCTGATTCCCAGAACCTGGTGGGAGGGCACCTGACTGGCCACTTCGTCCTTGTCCGAGGCAGGCAGGCAGGCCCCAGCCCCGGGCTTTCTCCTTGGATGCCCGCCAGCTGGACTCATCCTCTGCCTCTGCTGAGAAGGGGAGAGGGGCCGCCCCACCTCCCATGGGGCATTCCCACTCCCTGACTCCCACGCCGCACACCAGCATCAACAGATGGGGTGGAGAATCACTGGATGCGGGCCAAGACGTAGGACCCAGATGTGCCTAGGATTGTGGGGGCTGGAGAGACAAGCCCCCCCATGTGTCAGTGCCCTAGCTCCCCCATTCCTATGCACCCTGCCCTGTGCTGGTGCCCCCGTGAGGGGTGCTGATGGGGAACGTAGCAGGAGGATGCTTGCACTCACCCTCTGGTAGTACATGTGCGCCAGGACCCCCGCCACCAGCTCAACCAGGAAGATCACCAGCAACAGGCAGAAATACTAGGAGAAAGGAGTGAAGGTGGTCACCACCAGCATCAGGCCCGGGCGGGCAGATGGCACTTCAGGACTTCTAGGCCGAGAACTATAGTCTCCCCAAAGCAGCGGGAGAGGTGGGGCGACCTGCGAGGGACCCCATCACTCATACCATCTGCCTCCTCTTCCCAGCAGCTCTGGGTAGCCTCACCTTTCCTGGCTGCTGGTATGGAGTCTCCACACACCCCTTCACCTCCTGGTCTACCGTCAGTTCGTTAATCCATCCACCCGTCCAATGCTTATTAAATACCTCCTATGGGCCAGGTACCCTAAGTAAGACAGTTACTTCCCTCAGAGTTATTGGTGGGAGGGAGGGGGCACAGATAAATAAGTGATTACAATGCTGTGCTACAAATATTACAATGGGGTAAGCCCTAGAAATGATGGGTGGTCCTAGGTGGGGGAGGGCAGTCTGAGAAGGATTCCTGGAGGAGTTGACACCTGAATGGCACCTCTGAGGATGAGCTCCCAGGTGGAGAAGGCAGGAAGCATGTGCCAGGCAGAGGGGAGAGCATGTGGGAAGCCTGGAGGGGGCAGACGGTGGTGGAGAGAGCAGAAGAGGCTGTGAGTGTCGGGCTGGCTGGCAGGAACCAAGGCTCAGGAAATTGTAAAGGCACGTGGCCTAGGAAAGGCATCGGTGTGTCTTCAAGCCCTTCATGGCCCTGCACAGGGTTCTAAATTCCTGTTGCCACCACTGCCTGGCCTCAAGGCTCGGGGCTGCTCTGCACGCTTCACAGCCTGCTGGCTGGCTTCCCGGCTGTGCTCTCTTGCTCCCACCCGGTTTTACAGTCAGGAGGCTCCGGGACACTGTTCCATCTGCAGGTCAGAGATGCAAGTCAGGCCCACGTGGCCAAGCTGGGGACAGGGAGGAAGGGAGGAAGCAGGCTACAGGCAGGGGAGAGGGAATGAGGGGGAAGGCAGTAGAGTGCTGCTGCCTCCTCTGGGGGAGCCCAGCCTCTACCCATGCTCAGTGGTTAGTGACATCTCCCAGGCACCGCCTGTCCCGTCTGGCCATGGTCACTGATATCTCTGGATTGCAGGAGAGAGCTCAGCCTATGACTGAGCCCCAAAACTCCAGGGCTCATCAAATAGGGGAAGGGATGCAAGCAGGTGGGTCTGTGAATGGGAAGAAGGTGAGGGGAAGGCCAGGTGGGTAGGCCGGATGGGTGGCTGTTGGGCCAGTTCAGGGGTAAGGCGAGTTCATACCAGGGGCCTTGACTGACTATCTCCCAGAGCCCAGCATGAAACCTGGCATTGGGCAGGACTTAAACACAGAGGGAGGAGAGGGTATTCCTATTCACGAAGAACATTCCTTCCAGGGGCAAGGCTTCTTTCCAAGGTAAGTCAATAGTGCCCCTAGCCCCCAGACATTTTATTGAGCCCATGGTCTCCTGGGCTCAGCACTGGCCACCATCAGGGGTGAGGGAAGCTTTCCTGGACCTGAATGATGGTGGTAGGCCTGTGCTTCTCATCTATGGGGCCTAAGGCAAGAGTACAAATGGGAGTCCCTGGTACCCCCTTCTCCACCTGCTCCAAGCTCAGGGCCATACCAGAGAAGGCCTCTGGCCTACCTGTCCGAGCTCAGTCCATCCCCTGCCAGGATCCGCATACCCCACCCCTGCCACCACCCCTGGGGGGAGAATGTGGTGAGTTTAAGGAAACAGCCACCTTGTCACCTCTATGTGGGCTCTGGATGGAGGCCTATGCTGTCCACTGGCTCCTAGTCTAGAATGAGGAAGGGAGCTGCATGTCCCATGAGGGCATATTCCCTGGGCCTCATGGACTTCTTATGCCATAGGCGGGGTTAGAGGAAGGAGGGCCCCATGTGCCCGGGGCTGTGACAGGTGTGGGATGGTGTCCAGGTGAGCCAAGGCAGGAGGCTGACAAAAAGGTCTGTGGATGGGCTCTCTCTGCTTGATGAGCCTCTGAGATGCAGGGCCTGGAAGCCCGAAGAATGGTGGTGGAACGTCAGTGGATTTGGGTTTGAGTCGGGCTCTGCTACTTCCAGGCTCTGGATGAGCAGCCACCGGTGCCTAGTGTGAATTAGGAAAACGTGCTCCAAGGAGAAACTGTGGCTCAGGGAGTTGGGTGGGCTGAATTTTGATCTTCCCCAGGCTCACTCAGGGAGGCCCTGAGTCATAGCCCCGGGATGCAGCATCCAGGGCCATACACAGGGCCGTGCCTGTGGGATGGAGCCAGTGGATGGGAAGAATGGCACCCTTGCTGCCCTGCCCATCCCAAGGGGTTCAAAGCACCCAAAGGAAGGACACTATGCCTTACAGCGATGTGACCTGCTCCCTGCTCCCAGAGTGTGCGGGTGACAATGTGAAGTGAACCAGACTGGTCAGCCAGCAGCAGGCCTGATGGCCCGGGCCAGGCTGTGCCCCAACCGGGAGCTGCCCGGTGCCCCCGACAGCCCAGAGCAGCACTGACATCCTGCAGCTCCTCTGACACGGCTGCCCTTCCTGCTCACCCCAAATTGCCCCCCGTACCCCCTTGACCCCAGTATTCTGGGGCCAGCTCTCTTTCTGCGCACAGGACCCTACATGCAGAGATGGCTAGTCAGTGGCTGCCAGGCTCCCTGGGTGCACCCTGTGCCCTCAGGGGTGTTGGAGGCAGGCTGAGAGAGGATGCAGGCTGCTGGAGCAAGGAGGGCAGCATGTTGCCCCTCGCCGCCTTCCATCTGTGGGGGGGAGAGGCTCTTCTTCCCATCACTGATGTCCCATCAGCGGGGACTGTCAGCCGGGAGTCACGCTGGATGGTAGTCATGGAGGCTTGGCAGTGTCGTGCCACTCCCCCCGGGGAAGTCACTGCCACCGCCGCTGGAAGCTGGGCTGGGAGGAGGGCCGATGGGCCGGGCGGGCTGACTTAGTACACGCCAGCCCTCGACACGCTAGGAGGCACCGAACGGCAGCCCAACCTGATGGAGTCGTCGGGGGCGAGCAGAGCACTCCCGCCCACCTGGGAGCCTGGCTGTTCAGAGGCCTTCAGGAGGGGTGTGTGGGCCAGCCTGGGGTCCTTGGGGACTGATGGCCGCATGCTGGGGAGTGGGCAGGCCGGGTAGGCCGGGTGCTGGGGGTCATGGGCCCTGGCACCAGACAGCAGCAGCAGCAGCGGTGGGAGGGCTGCAGGTGCGTGACTCACCTAGGCGGGGGAGGCCCTGAGTCAGCCCCGGTGTGACGGTCCTCGGGAAGCTGGCAAAGGGTCACACACGTCGGGATCCCCCGCCCTGAGGGTCCTGGCAGCCCTGCCTCTGGAGCAGACTGCTGGAAGACTGGGCAATGGGGCCAGTGGCTAGTGGGGGTCGGCCATGCAAGGCCGTGAGCTGTGACAAATGTCTCTCCCCTGCCACTCCACCTTTGCTTTACCGAGCCTCCCTGACTCCCCTCAGGCCAGCCGGGTCATCCCAGCACTTCTAGAGCACAGGCTAGCTGGCTCCAAACCTGCAGAGCACCCCAGTGCCTGCACACGGTCCCTAAACATGTGCCAGCCTTCCAGCCCCCGCCTGTTTGCCCTCAGTGACTCCCTGCCTGGAATTCCAGGGCCCACCTGTCCTTTGTCACCCAGCTCCATCTTGGCCTTCACTAAGTCCTCCCCGGGTCTGCAGTAGGTGCTAGCCTTCCCAGCCCAAATGCCCACAGAGCTTCATCTGCCTCCAGCTTCTGCTCCTGCTCCTCAGCTAGACTCAGGCCCTAAACACTGTTCCTCCCAGGCCGGGTGAGTGACCTCACCTTGCCCCCTGCTCCAGAGGTCACCTCTGCCTCTGGTGTTATGGCCCTGTCTCCCCAGGATGACTGTGAGTTTCTGGGGAGCAGGGACCACATCTCAGGCTCTTCTGGCTCTCCCTCAGGGTCCACTATGGTGTTGGGTCCAGATGCATGCTCAGTAAATGCCACCTGATGAAGACCCGTGAGTGCCCTTTCACCAAGAACCCCACAAGAGACAAGGGGGACTGGCCAGTGTGTGCGGGCCCCAGGCGTGGAGGCAGGAGCCCAGTCATCGTCTGATCCATGGATGGCTCAGAATTGTCACCATAGTTTAATTTATACCAGTGGTTCTCTACCTGGCATGACTTTGCCCCAAGAGGACATTTGGCCATATCCGGAGATGTGTTTTTATAGTCGCACCTGGGGAAAGGAGGGCTCCTGGCTGGCGTCTAGTGGGGAGAGGCCAAGGATGCTTCTCAACGTCACACACGACAGGCCTCACCGCAAAGAATGATCCAGTCACCTAAAATGTCACAGGTGCCGGACTGAGAACCCCATCTACACATTTAACTTCAGAGTCTGAGGCTGCTGCTGGGACTTGATTTGCGTATGTGCCCCTCAGCCCTAGGGGAGACATAAAAAGAAAGATCTGAGGCAGGCTGGCTAGTTCCTGGGAAGCCTGGACCTGAGCACACACAGAGGCATGAGAGCGGCCTACTCTGTACCCTCCTCCGAGGGGACCAAGTGGCAGGATGTCGCCCACTCTGACTCCAGGATCAGTGAAGCCTCCAGGGCTCCAGTTCCTGGGCCCTTGGGCCGTGGGGCTGTTGTGGGGATGCTATGAGCCCGAGAGCATCCACAGCCTGTTTCCCGAAGCAGCTGGGTAGCCCCTGGCTTCCCCCACGTGAGCCGGGGCGGGCTGGGCGCTGCAGCCTCACGGAAGCATGAAGACGGCTCTGGCGCTGCCAGCTCCGACACCCTATGTGTAATTTGGAGGCGTCCTATTCCACTGCAGGTCGGGATTTACCGGCTTCTCCCAGCTACCTGGCCGGGGCAGGCCCGCGCTCTACCCCCAGGCAGCTGACGTTCTCTCTGGGGCCACCAGGATTCCTGCAGCCGAGGGGCGACAGCCCGACTCAGGGCGCCTGCCGTGCTTCTCCAGAGCCGGCCCCGTGGTTTCCTACCGAGAGTGATGGAAAGGCATCGCGTCCCCCCGAGACACGGAGAGAGCAATGAAGCTTCCCTGGCAGAATCAGCACC